AAGGAGGCAGAGGATTAGTTCAACTAGAACTGTCCTACAAAACTACGGCATTCAAAGTTAACTGGAAACTACAGAAGAATGGATGTGCCAAAGACTATGAAAGTAGTAAGAAACTTATTTAGCAATAAACGATGCTATCAAGGTCAAAATGGAGTTTTAAGTGGGTGAAGAAATGCAAATAAAACATAATACACCTACTGCAGCTGCAAAAATCTTAATAAACGAAGATACAGAAACCAGGGTAGGATAAACCTCATCACGGTCAATATTCTGCCCGTACCAAGCAAGGTGATGTAGACAAATGGAGTTGGAATACAACATACTCAAATGAAGGAGAAAGTAAGAAAAGGATACTATAGGCGTGTGCGTCTGGTAATGAATACCGAGCAGAATTCAAAAAACAGAATATCAGCCATAAACACGTTGGCTGTTCCCGTTGTGAAATACAGTTGGACTGTTGTGGCCTTGTTAGGACCGGAAATAAAGACACAAGAGAGGAATTGAGTTAAACAAATATATTAACAGAAGCAGTAATACCACGACCTCGGTGGTAGTAAATTTCCTTAAACACATCATGGGAATGTGGAAAACCATATTATACTTAAATCGCACGAAAGGCACTGCCACTTCCAACGGCCTGAATATCCAACGAGGAATCTTTCAAGGAGACCCCCTCTAACCTCTTCTGTTTTGTCTGTCCTTAATCCCCTTTACGCATGAACTAAACAACAGTAACTATGGTTACAAATTAGACAAAAAAGAATTCAATCACCTACTCTGCATGGATGATCTCAAACACTTTGCCAAAGACGACAATAAGTTGAAGGGTCTCCTCAATGCTGTAAAACGTTCCAGTGACGACATAGGCATGGATTTCGGATTAGATAAATATGCAGAAGTAAATTTCAAGAAAGGAAGAATTACAGAAACGCACTCAATAGATTTAGATTTTGTCACAAAGATTAGGGAACTGGAACAAGAAGAATCATATAGGTATTTAGGAATTAGCTAAGGAATTGGAATACAGCATAGCCAAATGAAGGTGAAAGTAAGAAAAGAATGCTACAGGCGTGTGCATCTGGCATCGAATACCTAGTTTAATTAAAAAAAATTCCAGAATATCAGCCATAAACACGTTGATTGTCCCCGTGGCGCAATAGTTTCAACATCCTTAATTGGACTGTTGTGGCATTGTTAGGGTCAGAAATAAAGATACAAAGAGAGGAATTGAGTTAAACAAATATATTAACAGAAACAGTAACACAAACATATACAAATGAGAGTGTTACAGCAAGAATGTTCGGTCCGACTGTCAGAGCTGACTGCTGGAAACTTCAACCCCCACAAAGGTAGTACCTGCTCTTATTTATAGCTGTGAGAGTCCATCCGGGCGTGGGAAAATTACCATAAGATGGACCATAGATGACATTAAACAAAGAGACAACAAAATGAGAAAGCTTCACGAAGGAGGCAGAGGATTAGTTCAACTAGAACTGTCCTACAAAATACAACAATCGGCGTTCAAAGATACCTAGAAACTACTGAAGACTGGTTAAAGCGAATATGTTCAAAATAGAGTTTCAATTGAGCCAAGAAATGCAAGTGAAGCGTAATAAACCTACTAAAGCTGCAAAAATCTTAAAAAAGGAAGCAAAAGCAAATGCAATGGACCGGATACAGAAATGATGAAAGTAAATCACCTAATACTCTGTCTGTACCAAACAAGCTGATATAGACAAACCCCGGACCCATCATTGGCTATGTAGTGCCGGGTTAAAAGCTAAAACCGAAGAATTTATTCTTGCTGTACAGGACCAATGCTTCCTAAATAGAAATTACGAAGCACACATAATCATAAAAAATCATGTTAGCCCAAAATGCAGATTCTGTGATAAATATCGAGAAACAATTGACCATCTTGTATCAGGTTGCATGGCATTGGCACCCACGAAATATAAAACCCGACATGATATCTGCATTTTACGGGAAGGAAACTACCTAGAAACTGGTATGAACATCATCCAGACGCGGTTAGAGAGATAAGACCTGTAACAATTTCATGGGTTTATACAATACACACAGACAGAACAATCAAATCTAATCGCCCAGACATCTTCAAAAAACTATCAAAATACAAGAATCTTGATGTGGAAATCTAAAAAATGTGGCATATGAAGACATCAGCAGTTTCTTGCAGTTTCCTTCCCGTAAATATGCGTCATCCGGAAGGAGTCATTGTATCTGACGTGCCTGACCGTTCAGCCACGTAGGACTTTCGGTCAAACAAAGGCAATATTTTTCGAGAAATCACATTTTGATCCGTTTAATGTTTATATTAGTTAAAAGCAGAAGTCCTTGGAGAATTTAAATCCTCAATTTCTTTTTGTAAAATGGGATCCCCAGTTACCGAAAATTTGCTCTGAATCGTAAAATAAAAATGCATTAAAACTAAGACATTATTTAATTAAAAAAAACTTTTAATAGCTTTTATAAATACAATATATTATGGACATTATTGTCTTAAGAAAAATATTTTTTATGAATTTTTACAAGAATTGTTTTCGTTTTTTTTTTTTAAATTTTGATTCGAATAATTTGTAAAGATTTATTTTTAAAAAAGTTCTGTTAATTTGTATCGATTAGCTGTTATTATAATTAAGTAAAAACTATATTTACTAATCACAAACTTATTACAATTTAGTGAACCCCAATATTTAAAAAAAATTTTTTTTGCATGTGTGTAAACCTGCCGATCTTTGTAAGTACAGACATTCATACGCGACATTGTCAGAAAATAAGAAAGATAATTATTGTAACTTTAAAGCCAAATGACATAAAATTCAATAAAATTACGTAGCATATTTTCATAAATTTTCAAGATTACTGGGTAGTTAAAAATTATATAAAAAAGGCGCTCACGTTATATTCCTCAAGTAATTTTTACAGATATATGTGTGTCTGGCTGTCACCACCTTAAATATATAGCTACCGCGGCGTTAAAAATGGTATTTCTGCGCTATTTTAAACTTAAAGTAAGTAATATTTGTTTGAAATCGGATTAATTATACTTTAAATTAACTAATATTCCTTAAATAATATTTCAGAAAAGTCTATTTTATTTTTGAAAGATTTGTTAATGAAGAGAATTACTTTGTGTTGATGTGTGGCTGAAAATGCTGCTAAAATCAGAGACTTTAGCAATTTCAAAACGAAATCTCTTTCCAATCGACATAAATTAGTTTTGAATACAGAAAAGTATTTTACTTATTGGAAATATTAAATTTAATCTATTAACATGAAATGAAAGCGAAAATAAGAGCTTCAAGAACGATTTTTCATATTTTAAAATTCATTGTAAAACTTAGGCATCTCGTTTTCTGTGGATGATTGGTTGGTTAATTTTGTTTAGCCGCATATCAACCTGTACGGCTTATTTAATGCCGAAATCTAAATATATATATATATATGTGAAATATATATATATATATATATATATATATATATATATACATGTGAAATATATATATATATATATATATATATATATATATATATATATATATATATATCAAAAAAAAAAGGATCATAACATTCAGAGAAAGTCATAGAAAGTCACATGTACTGTTATAGAAAATGTTATTGTTGCACATCTTTGTTAGTGTAGTTTAAGGCTGGATTTCTCCTTCAGCAAAATAAGTCCATATTTGTGTGTGTGTGTGTGTGTGTGTGTGTGTGTGTGACGGGGGTAGGCACCTTACGTTCTTTCAGAGATTTGTAATAAAACCTTGCTGATTAATGAAAATTGCCTAAAGTATTAATTAAAATATCTTTCTTTTATGCTATTGTTCGTCCAGGCTCAAGATCCACTCAGTGTAATGGGTTTACTGGACGAGGTTGTTTTATGGTAGCAAGAGGTAAAAATTTTAGTTTATGAGGATATGTAGGATATATAACGGTTGACCCTGCACTTGAAGACGTTAAGGTTATAGTCGTCAGGGAAGCATATTCAAAGAAGATGGCAGAATAGAAACATCCTCCTTACCAATGGAATACAAAGGGAATGTAGATGGTTTGCCTCTGTGTACATGACATAGTGGGTCATAGCAGCAAAGATCTGAACTGATGATATTAATGAATATGGCTCACCGGTACATATTTCATAGAGATAGAGTAGCACTGGGTCAGAAATGTAATTCTGTTGTCGGTGCTGTAGATGTTGAGCACGTCATGTTTAAATGGTAAGGCAAGAGGTCAATCTTGTGCTAAGTTTGTTCATATGTCATATAACGTAAGAGACTGACGTGTTCTGTGTCAGGATGAAAACCATACGCTCCGCTTCAGGCCACTGGCCCTGAAAAAAAATCTTAAGGGTTGTATTGGGGTCATTTACTATGTTATTCTACATAGGATTACCTTTCAAATGATACCAAAATTGTTTTGTTAGCAATTTAATCCTGGCCTAAGACGAATTCCTCAACACGCAATTCCAAAATGAACACACACACACTTACACAAGCACACACACACACAGTCTCACACAAACACACACACATATACATACCGATTTGGACGCTTCGACGTGATGTAATGTTTAGCAAGCATGTCTTCCTCGATCATTTATGCTTGAGTATTGAGTTCGATCCTCACTGGGTGACCCATACTTCCGGTCTTGTTTCATATCTAATGTACGCTTATAAAATCACCACTTACATACTGATATGACAAGGTTCCGTCAAGGTTGACAATGGGGGTAACAGTTTATTTATTTTGATGATAGCTGGCGACGGAGGTGGGTGTAGAGGGGAAGTAGGTTTAAGTGTTAAATTAAGTAAAAGCAGTCCAGACTGAAATCTGAACTCGACTCACTGATTCTATTTCTATACTTCGACTATCACCTTTTTTTTTTCTTTCCTTCATTTGTCACCCCCCCCGCTCCCAGAAAGTCCATTAGGATAAGTGAAAAGTCTCAAGCAAAATTCGATGTGGGTGTGGTCGTATAGGTTGGTGGAATCGCTTCCTCTCTTTTTGGCTGTACGGGGGATCGTGCCAGGGCATCACGCAATATATTAAGTGCTTTGTCTCCCAGCCGCAACTGCTGCTTTGAAAAGGTTCCGACGCCACCATTGCGAATCCGCGTCTCAGAACGTGACTAAAACCAGTTCTCCAATCTCAACAGCCATTGGTCCACCTCTTTGTCTTTCTTGATTTGGTCGTCAATTCAAAAGAAAAGCGCTGAGTGGTTAGCTTATGAACGGGGAGTTAATTGGATAAAGTGACTAACACACTGTGCGCTGATTGGCTGGAAAGAAGAAAAAGGGCGGTAACACAAAAGGGGTTCTCTTCGGCTGACTTTTCTCTTCATGCGGATATGAATGGTCTTTACAAATTGTAAATGCACAAACCTATAAGAAATTTGCAATAAACCACTTCCAGTTTTTCCATCACACACACACACACACACACACACACACACACACACACACACACACACACAGACACAGAGTACTGCACTTGCGCGTACAGCTTAGTAGTTGAAGTATAGGGATTATACATAAAAGGGTATCGTTTAAATGGAGAAAAATTCTGGAATGCTAGTTAAACCGTTAGGTTTAATCCGAACACCAAAAGAATCCTGAAGGATTATATAATTTGAAAAGTAAAGATTTTTATGAATTCTTATACTGTTTATAAGATATACACTAATTCTTATTTAAAATTCAAGGTTTATCTTTCTTATGTTTTAGCCAGAAGTTGCCATATTGTCATTGTCTATGCTGAAAATGATCCCTTCGTTGTAAAGTGTCAGGAAGTACTTATCATCTCTCTCTCGCTCTCTCATACTATTCAGTATCTATCTATCTATCTATCTATCTATCTATCTATCTATCTATCTATCTATCTATCTATCTCAGTCTGTTTCTATCTATCTATCTATCTATCTATCTATCTATCTATCTATCTATCTATCTGTTCATATCTTACACATTTTCACACAATCATGTAATCCACCTATATATATATATATATATATATATATATATATATATATATATATATATATATATCAGGACTCTACCATCGATTACGAATGTTTGAAAGTCTAGGGTACCTCCAGATATGGAGGCTTGTACAGAACCAACCACACCTTTCGCCAAAATGATAACAAAGTAACACACAAAAAAACGTGCACCCATATATTTGTGCGGGTGTTCATGTGTATGCATTAATATCATACATATTTAAGCGCACCTGTGCACAGTCACGAAGGAATACAAAAGCAGGCGCATATAGCATCATAAATCAAAAAAGCAGATAAACGTCTTGCCTCAGTTTTCCGTCAGTTTTGTGTGTAAAATTCCATATCTGTTACGACAAAAGTTAGTAAAATAAAAATGGCGTAGAGAGTCGGCGAGGCAAAATGACTGGAGATTATTCCGTGGCCGAAATGGTTAAAGTGACGTTCATTAAAAACGGGTTCTTGAGGTGCGGGGTACCATTTCAAGTTTAATTGGGAAAGCTTCGATATGATGTTGTCAAAAATATATCGGCCCAGTTTTGTGTTATGGACAGCTAAGCTGACATAAAATTAGTAAAAGCATGTGTCCGTTGTTTTACGACGCACAAAACATGTCAAGTTAGTAGACTAGATGTACCTTTTCTACTTTGCATACATAACCCCAAAATATATCTGCTTAACCCGATCGCTACAAGCTTAACCTCTTCATGCTTAGTTATCTGTTATCTTTCTTATATATATATATACATATATATATATATATATATATATATAAGATATATATTCCTATATTTTCTTATATATCTTCATAATTTGTGTTTCTTAACACCCCACCCGCTTATGTTCACGCAATATCGTCATTCAGTAACCTTCTAGCTCGAGTGATTCTTGAGCCTTGTACTGTGTGACCAATTACTGAAAAAAATAGAAAATCAGCAATAAAATCTAGTACTTCTTCTACATTCTTCTTCTTTTATGTGCCGTGTCCCTTCAGCACGTAGGCAATCATGGGCCTCCACATCTTCCTATCCCTTGTAGCTCTTATTACGTTTTGTCTTTTTGTTATTTCTCCCAAACCCTGTTCTGCAATCCATTTGCTCATGCCCATCACATATGTTATGCGCTGCTTTCCTCTGTCTCTCTTTCTCTCTATCCGCCCTGTGAGCATCAGATTTTCCAAGTCCTCCTTCCTCATTACGTGTCCAAGAAATTTCAACTGCTTCTTTCTGATGTTAAGTATAAGTTTCTTTTTCGCTTTAATTCTGTCCAAAACCTCGTCGTTGCTCATGGTATCCTCAGCATCCTTCTGTAGAACCACATTTCTGTTGCTTCAAATCGCTTCATCATCTTTTAGGAGATTGTCCAGCATTCGCTGCCATAATCTTTTCCATGTTTCCAACGAAATTTTTCTGTCTCTTAATACTCTGCTTAGCTTTTGGAAGGCATCTTTGGCCATCCCAATACTTCTTCGGATCTCAGTTTCGCTCTTTCCGCCCTTTGTTAGGACACTTCACAAATATTTAACTTTCTGTACCTGCTTGAGTTTAGTATCCCCGACCTGTAATTTGGATGGGGTGTTCGCTCTTCATTATTTTGCTGATAACCATGCATTCTGTCTTCATGTAGTTTATGTTTAGTCCTTTCTTTTCGTTTTCCTTCGCTACCCTCTGTAGGCGGTTTTGTAGTTTCTTTTCTGTGTCTGCTATCAGCACTGTGTCAACTGCAGATCTTATATTGTTAAGATTGTGGCCGCCAATAAGGAATCCTGGCAGGACTTCTAACTCTTTTAGAACTGCCTCGCTGTATAGTTTGAATAAATCCGCTAGGAAGACACATTCTTGTCTTACACACCCTTTTTATTTTTGTATATCTGCTGAACTGATTTTCTGTCCGTATGTAGACGGTTTCTGCCAGTAGAGATTCTTGATTATTCTGATGTCTTTCCCGAATATTTTAAGGTTGCTGAGCAGCTCTAACAGATTTTTGTGGCGTACTTTGTCGAACGCCTTTGCGTATTCTGTAAAATACAGGTCCACTTCCTTCTGCGTTTATATTGATCTTTCTGATAACATTCTGAGCATAAATATTGCGTTCCTTGTTCCGGCGTCTTTGACAAACCCGCACTTTTCTTGTCCTATCTCTGTCCTCATTCTGCTGCTCGCTCTATTTATCAGAATTCGGATGATGAGTTTTGTTATGTGGCTCATTAAGCTGATTGTTCGATGGAGTTCACATTCATTCCTGCCTGGTTTCTTACGCAGTGCTATGAAAATAGATCTACTTAGATCTTCCGGTATACCACTACTATTGTAGAATTTAGTTTATTATTTCTATAATCTTGTCTATGCCGAAATCCTCTAAGGCTGCCAGTATCTCTATTACAATTCCGTCTGGCCCTGCCGCTTTGTTTCTCTTCAATTTGGTCAGCTTTCACTTCTGATTTTAATATTTCCGGTCTGTCGGTATTTCCGTGTATTGCCTGTTGTTCTCTTTCGTCGTAGAAGAGTTCACCGATAAATTTATTCCATCTCTGAAGTATTTTTCTTTCTCTAATATTAGCGTTCCGTCCTTGGATATTACACAGCTTGTTGATGAGCATGTCTTTTGTCCTGCTAGTTCGCTTATTTTTGTATGTATATCTCTTTGATCTGTGATACTTATTCTTTCTATGTCTGTACATTTTTCATTGGGCCATTCCTCTTTAGTCTGTTTGCATCTGTTCCTTATTTCTTTGTGTAGTTTTCTGTATTCCGTTCCGTGTCTTGGCATTGTTTTCTGTCTCCTTTGCATCATATCGAGAATCTCATTAGTGTTTCATTCGTTTATTTTTTCTTCTTCGTCTATTTTCCTTTGGGATGATGTCACTAAAGCTTCTCTTAGTATGTCCCACTTTGAGTTTCACTTTCCATTTTGTCTCTCGTATCTTCTTTTCATACTGTCCTTATATTTTCCCTTCAGGTTCGGCTCGTTCAGGAGTCTGTTGTATTGCAAGTTGGGTGCTGCGTTAGGCTTCTCCAGTCTCCATAGTTTCATTCTTAGGGAGGTGGTCGCTCCCGCAGCCGGCACTTGGGTAGGTTTTGCAGTGAATCATTGCATTCCTGAATCTCTTGTTAATAGTTATGTAGTCGATTTGCCTTTTAGTTTCTCCTTCTGGTCTTCTTCATGTCCATATTCGTCTTGGATATTCTTGGAAGTAGGTGTTGACCTGGTCATTCGCCGTGCACTATTGGGCCCATTTTTTCTTCTCGTACGTTGCGGGTTCCTAGTCCGAATTTGACAGCTATTTCCCAAACCCTACTTTGGTATTCAGGTCTCGCATGATCCTTGGTGTTGTCTAGCATGGAGTAGAAAGATTCCATTTCTTCTTCCGTACATTGTGCTGTCGGTACATACACAATTGTAATAGATATGTTAAAAGACTTTCATTTCAGTTTAATTACGAAGAATTATTTCAGATAACTAACAGTATCCCAGAACGCATTTTCTATATGTCTTGGTCTAGTATCAATCCAACTCCTTTTTCATTTTTCACTCCTCCTGCATATATAATCATGTGGTTGTCACTGACAGAATCTCCGTTGTTTGGCGACCTAGTTTCACATACTTCTAAAATGTTGGCATTTAACGTACTCATCTCCTGTTTTTTTTTAATTTTCTAACTGGCCACAGTGGTTTAACGTCCTAACGTTCCATGTTTTGTTTGATGCGAACAGTCGCTGGATGACGGTCAGGTGACACCTGTCGCTCCTTTCCAGGTGAGGGATCAGTTCTAAGGAATTTTATCCTCTTTACGCCGTTTATGCTAACAGTCGCTAACGGTCAGGTGATACCTGTTGTATATGTCTCTTCTTACCGGGCGAGGAATTAATTCCCATATATTTAACTCCCTTCACGCCGTTAGCTTTCATATTTTCTTTGATAATTGCCATGATATTTCTTGGGATTAATAGTGGTGTGGTTTCTCGTTTCCCTCTCTTCGGTGCTTTATTGAGACATCGCCTCTAGTTAGCTGGCCGTTGGCTCGTCAAGAGTTCTTCCGCCCTTTGATAGGTTTTATTTTTCATCCTATTGGGTTGCAACAACCCTCCTCACTCGCAAGAATGAGGTAGCCGGTTTAGACTCCGATATTTCGACAGTAGCACACACACACACACACACACACACACACACACACACACACACACACACACATATATATATATATGATAATCAAGCAGAATGATCCTGAAGAATTGCTCAACCAACACAATGAGATAATCTTTAAATGCAGACATAGAAATCATCCCAATATAACTAACTACATATAAAGATAACAACCTGTCCATTGAAATTCTGAAAGTTTAAACTATTTATATTTGAAATAATACCCGATGTCTCTCTATATAAATTTAACCATTTATATTATAGTATATATGCATTTGTATATGGGTATATGTATTTTGATATTTAGCCTTATAATAAGGCTAATATTTATAGGTGTCCATATGGCAATTACAAGCATACACATATATTGGTGTATGTATATGTTGATGTTTATATACAGAAGTATTTATTTGCTTGTATTTAGATGTGAGGACGTTTGTATGCACGCACGCGCGCGCGTACGCATGTGTGAGCGTGTGTATGCGGGTACGTATATGTATGCATATGTGTGTGTATGTGCATGCATGTGTATGTTTGTATATGTATATGTGTGTATATGTATATGTGTGTATATTTCTATGTGTGTATATATGTATGTATATATGGATGCGTGTGTAAATATGTATGTGTATGTACATATATATATAGATATATATGTGCGTATGTATGTAAGGTTATGTATGTATATGTATGTGTATCGATACATGCGTATGTGGTTGCATATGCATTTGTATATGTGTACGGTATATGTATGTATATTTACGTAGATATGTATGTGGTGTGTATGTATGCATATATGTATGAGGTATGTATGTATGCATATATTTGTGTGTACTTCAGCATCCCAACTCCAGAGCTCTGATTGCTGACGTGTATACATTCACGAGATATTCACGAGAAATTTTCGCTACACTTCCGATCTATGATTTTCAACATACAAATGCGTATGTATATAAACAAGAGCACACATATACATACATATATTAAATCCCATACTGTCCACATATATTTATGTCTGTATGAGCCCCGGTGGACGAGAGAGTGTGTATGTGTGTCTGCGTACCTCATCCGGTGTACGGACATGCATCTATGTTTGCGTTAGCATGAGTGACATCACGACGACGATCTCCCCCACTTCCATAATAACACCAATACACGCAATCTACATAAACCCAAAATTTTAAAAATATTAATCAGTTTGTCTAACGATCGCAAAAGCGTGAAACCCAGGGTCACAAACTCACATCAATCCAACCAAATATATATATATATATATATATATATATATACGCACACACAGACATACACATATACATACATGCGCATATGCACATATTTATATATCTACACTGGGTTATTATTCCATTTTTTTAATTTAGGTTGGTAGTATCATAAGTATTAATTTCAGGAGGTTAGATTTATAATTAAATTTATTTATTATTGTTAGAATTTATGTGCATATGTATTTATACGCTTATGTATACGCACACGTACAGATCCATTCACGCGTGTATATAGGCTTACTTATGCTTACATATGTACACATAGACGCGCATACACTGGTGCATGTACACTTAAATCTGTGCTTTGTGTAACATGGCCCTCAAAGTTAACTGTTAAATCAGACATATAAGCAATTTATTAAGAAACGCTCTGTCTTTGTTTCTCCTTCCTCTCCGCCTCTTTTTTGTTTTACTACCTATCTGGACTGAACCGGGTTTTGCCTAAGATCGGGTAGGAAAGGAATTTGGGGTCGCTTAACAGCGAAAAGTATGATCTCCTAAGAAATAGCAGGAAAGCAATTTGGATTTGCTTGGCAACAAATAGAGATTGAGTAATAATCGGTCATCTACGCTCACGTGACATACATCACCAAGTGGGTTTTTGGTATTGTAACTTAAGTTTCTCGATGAACTCCCACGATAACAGTTCGCGAGAAAAATAAACTCTCATCTTGCGATCGTAAGGGATGAGAAATACACCCACAAGTCATTTCCATTACTTGTTTTGTAGGGAATAAGGAAATTTCGCCCCGGAGATCCTGGGTTTATTTGACTATTTAATAAGTAAAGGCTAAAGGAATATTGTACCCAAAGAAATACAAAGAAATCATCATACTTTAATCTTGAACGCAATCAAGTTAACCAAGGGGAAACAGAACACAAACATATTCCCGGAATCTTATATTTCCCATTGCGCAAGAAAGAACAACCAACTTTTGTGAACATGTAAATGCAGAAATGCAACTTTGTCATTACGAATATTCCAAACAGAAACGTTTAAACTGACTTCCAATGTCAGTTAAATGTTCTTTTATTTATTGTACGTCTGTCACTCCATACTTTTCCCATAGTTTGTTATATAAAATTTATTTATAAATGTTAATCTTGTGTTTGTTGTTCGTCGGTACCTCTTCCTGTGTTCCTATCCGAGCGGACCCCACCATTTTTGTTTGTTTGAACCTGAGGTTCATATCTTTATACGTTGCGAATTTGTAACATTTGTTATTAATAAACTGGTGCTTAAATAGTGAAGTTATTTTAGTTTTTAAATATTATTTTACACACACACACACACACACACACACACACACACACACACACACACACATGCATATATATATATTTACGTGTGTAAATGTGCGGGAGCACATTTACACACATATATATAATTGTTAAATAGTGTATATATAATTAAAATAACTGTATGCTTATATCATGTTATCGTTTATTGTTTATTTAATGTTTCGTTTTTTTTATTATTATTTAATGGTTAATAGTTTATTTGTTTTTTGCCTTAGTGTTATATATTGAAGTATTAATTATTTGGGTTAAGTTTGTTCATTTTTTGGTGTTTGGGTGTTTGTTCGTATATACATGTACACACACTCGTGTAGGTGTACTTTAATAATTTTTCGTTTATTTTTTTATTAATAAATTAAATTTATATTATATTTGTTTCTTTTATTGATTTATTTAAATTTTGTATTATATTTTTTATTTCAATTATTCATTTATTTAAAGTTTATATTTATTTAATTTATATTTGTTTATTTTTAGTTAGTGCTTTGATGGCAAAGTCAGTATTTATCTATTATTTCAGTTTTCTTGTTTAAGAGTTTATTTTGGTTTTTAAAATTAATTATTGCTAATTTTTCCTCTAAGTATAATTTACAACTTTTGCTGTTAATACTGCATGAGGCTTCCCTTTTTGTAATTTCCCATTTGATTTTTGTGGGGATATTGTTTTCTTTTTTGGGTCCGTATGTATTTTGATAGAGTTGCATTAATTGTGTATTTTTTTCTTTCGAATCCCATTTTGGGGTTATAATATCCTTCTTTAAAAGTTTTTTCTGTGGTCCCTATATAATTTTTTTCGTCTGTGTTAATGTTATTATTTACAATGGCTTTGTATATTATGTTATTTGTTAAATATTTATTGTCAAGTGGGCAGCTTTCTGCATTTACATGTAATGGTGTTATTTTGCAGCATGTTATTGTCATTGTTGTAATTATTATTGGTTTTATTGAGTATTTTTTTATTGTGCTTAGTTCATATTTTCTCCATGTTATCCATGCAGCTGTAACTAATTTTCATTGTATTTTTGTGGATGATCTGCTCTTTTTAGGGAAATGTTTGTCAATTATTTTGAAGAATATTTTCCTATTTTTGTTTTTATTTTATTCTTGCGTGTGTGGGTGGTGGTGGTGTGTGACCAAATTATATATATTTTTGTTGTTTTTGTTTGAATTATTTTCGGCTTTGCATTCTAGTTTGTTTAAATATTCACTGCTTCTTAGGGCTTATTCATATGTTTTTTTTATTGAATATTTTAGGTTGCTAGAATAAGTTGAAATTATTTTATTTATAGATAAGGGTATTTGTTTAAATACATTAGCGGGTAGTTAGAATTTATTTAATATATATTGGGTTGTTTGGTTTTCTGTAGGGTTTCTAGGCTCCGTTGTTAAGATTGAGTGTTATATATAAGATCGTTACTATTCTTTTTTTGAATGGAATTTATATCTATTGTAAATCCTAGGGTTTTGAATGTTTTTGTTATTTCTTGTTTTATTTTTTTTTTAGTTCTGCCGTTGCAATTTTTTCAATTATTAGACCGTCGTCCCTGTATAGACCTATATCTTTTTTGTTAATGATATTTATTAATTTATTGATTATAAATATACCCTCACACAAACATATGTATACGTACATGCACGCCGGGGATTAAAAAAGTTTTTGAATTATCTGATAACGAGGAAAGGGTTTAAGGATCGGAGTTATTAAGGCGGGGTTGATGGGAGAGGTGAATGAAAGAATTTTTAAGTTTTAACTTAAATTCCGAATTCTCACTCTTTGTAAATTTGTTCACATATTCCTAGTCAGTCTCCATCAAAAACTTCATTAAATGCTGCGACCCCCAATATTAACATTACGTTAATAAGCACATTATCAGTACAAACACACACACACACATATATATATATATATATATATATATATATATATATATATATATACAAGTATAGGGTTAATAAATTCCAATAGCCAACAAATACTATCCCTAAAAGAGTGCTCAATACAGAGTTGAACAAATATAATAATTTATTCGAAAATTATAACATAAATATGTTATAAAATGACTACGAAAATAGCCATTTTGTTTTAACACTTCTGGCGTCTTAATATTAGCAGAAGATAATGTTGTAACAATAATTCAATTATAGGGATTCGATTGTTCAATGAGGCATGAGGTGCACGTGTCAAAATATTGAGATGGGATTTCATCACTATTTTAGTCAACTACGCTTATTTCACTGTTTTGTTCAATTGTCTCAAAGAAGGCACGCTGCCCGCCGAACGCACGCTTCCCGTCGAATGCATACTCCCCGCCGAATGCACGCTCCGCACTGAACGTACGGTTCCCGCCGAATGCACGCTCCCCGCCGAACTCATACTCTCCGCCGAATGCACGCTCCCCACCGAACGCATCCTCCCCGCCGAATGCACGCTCCCCGCCGAACTGGTTTTTCAAAAAAAATCAAAGTATACTTCAATAATTTAAATATCTTTGAATTTTTCCGGTTAATCTTTTGTTTGTTAGTAATATTTTAAAAAAAAGCATGACTAATGCTAAACCCTCACCCCCAACCACTTGAGCAAAACGTTGCGACTTCTTGGTTTCACGTTGTCTATTGAGGAGCAATTATATTGAATCAGTTACTAGGGATCACTGTGCAGCAACAGATATTTTTCTCATCGGAATCTATCTTGCATATTTGTAAATCTACCATTTGCCAGAGCATTGAATGTATGGTTTAGGGCTTCGGCTATTCTCGACGCTAAACCAAAGAAGGGTCCGTAATGTTATCGGTCTTGACATAGCATCTCGATTTCAGTCATTTCTCCACCGTCGTGGTGTGGCTTCCCTCTGTCTTTTCTATAAATATTTCCATGCTAGTTATTCTAAAGAACTCTTCTCCTTAGTAAATCGTCTGTCGGAATTTAAGCATGCTACTAGATTGGCAAATAGGTCTCATTGTTTGACCGTTGGAATAGATAGATGTAACCGTAAGTTCTATTCAGTTAAGAGTTTCTTTTCTCGCACTTTTCATTTGTGGAACTCTCTTCCGATTTCTTTCTTCTTTGCTGTCAACAATCTTCAAAAATTGAAATGCAACGTCAATTACAATCTTCTGTCTTCTTGAACACTGTTCATTCTTTTTCCTTTCCTCAATCATCTCTACTAAAAACTCTCCCCCAAATTCCTAGTGGTATTATCGCCTTGTTTGGGGTGAAATGATTAAAAGAAATATATATATATATTTATGAATTATTCACACAAAAACAAATGCAAAGGTTAATGATTTAATTGGCGAGAAATCCATCGTCGCAAACAATTCAAATAATATACAAAAACCTCCGAATCCGTTATGAATGAAAAGATCCTTGTTTCTATAAATTTCTGCCGCATTAGTTCTTATTTTTACTACAAGCTTTCGTCTGTTCCTACAGACATCTTCAGGTATGGAATAGATGTTGTTTTTGTTTTTTCTCTTAGTAATAAGAGGACAACGAAAATATATGTATTGTTGTATCTCTTATTACTAAGAGAAAAAACAAGAACAACATCTATTCCATACCTGAAGATGTCTGTAGGAACAGACGAAAGCTTGTAGTAAAAATAAGAACTAATGCGGCAGAAATTTATAGAAACAAGGATCTTTTCATTCATAACGGATTCGGAGGTTTTTGTATATTATTTGAATTGTTTGCGACGATGGATTTCTCGCCAATTAAATCATTAACCTTTGCATTTGTTTTTGTGTGAATAATTCATGAATTTTTAAATTGATTGCACGTTTATCGAAATATATATATATATATATATATATATATATATATATATATATATATATATATATATATTGAGAAAATTGTAAGACAAAATGGAAAAGCTTTATTTGTGACGCATTTCATCCGTTGGGAATTCATCGGACTGTATTTGTGGAAGTTGTTGTGACTACATATGCGCATGAACGAGAGACGCTGGCAGTTTCAAAATTTTTTAAAGAATTCTTTTTGAAAGAATATTTTGCAATCTAGCAAAATTCATCTATGTTATTTTTCTTTTTCTTTCCATCATCTTTATTTTTAAATATCCCACACTGTGATAATAGAAAATATGTCAAGAATTGTGAAACGTTGTAAGAACCTGGACGTAAATTTACTGTGGATGAAGCGATCAAAGTACTTTCTAGACATTTTTATCTTAGTGAATTATTTTATTCTTTAATTACAGTAGCATTTTATTTATTTATTTTGATTTATTTGACGTGGCTTCCCTCTGTCTTTTCTATAAATATTTCAATGCCACTTGTTCTAATCAGCTCTCTTTTTTGACACCTCAACGGCGTGAATTTAAACGTACTACTAGATTGGCTCCTAGGTCTCATCCTTTTATTCTTGAAATAGTTAGCCATAACCGTAAGTTCTATTTTAATAGTTTCTTCTTTTCTCGCATGTGGAATTCTCTTCTGGTTTTCTGCTTCCATGCCACCAACAATCTTCAAATATTTAAATGCAAAGTCAATCGCCAAATTCTGTTTTTCTGAACTCCGTTTTTTATTGACTCTCCTCCGAACTAAATTTCTCTTTCACTTTCAATAACCTTTTGTGTCTTAGTGACATTATCACCTTACTTGGGTGAATTTTTTTTTTTTTTTAAAGAAACATTTTAGCCGAAAAGAGTGAGATTCTTCATACCTTCAAATTGAATGCTCGAACGTTGTGTGTTTTTGAATAAGATTAATAACACTAAGAAGATATTAGATTATACGAAATATTACGCTATGATGTAATGACTTCTCAATTTTTTGTAATCATTTCATCCTAAGCAAGGCAATCAAGCCACTAAGACGCAAGAGGTTACTGTAAGTGAAAAAGAAATAGAAAGACTTCAATTAGGAGGAAGGACAATAGGCGCGCGAATGTTAACTGAGTGTTAGAGAATATGAGAAAAAATACTATTAAGGAGAGGAGGCAATGAAAGGACAAGAATGAAGAAGCCAGAATATGACAATTGACATTGCATTAAAATTTTTGAAGATCAAAGTTGACTGGGATGTAATATCTTCTTTGAATTTTTTTCTTTTGATTTTAATCACACAAAAACTGTGTAAAGTCGGTTGTATTAAATTGACTCATAAATAGTTTCCGTTTTTTTGTTTATCAACTTTATTCTTCAAAAAATAAAGTACCATTATATTTTATTCAATTATATATCCACCATTATTTGCAGTTTAGTTTTCTTTCTTTTAACATACGGTCAGTTTTAGACCCACTGGAGTGAAAGGGTGTAATCCATTTTTATTTTTTTCTCAGATTAGGTCATTTGCAGTGGTGTACACTAATATGAATCTATTTTCGGGGTGTATAATGAAATTTGTTTGGCCTTGAAAAATAAATAGAAAAAAGTCCCTCAAAAAATACTACTTGTGGAAATAAATAAACAAACATTATAACAACATAGTGGAAATCAGAACAGAAAAGAGGATATATTTCGTTGAACCATAAATAATTCCTTTTCTTGTTTGTCAAATTTATTCTTCAAATTAATAAGGAGTAATTATATTTTTGTTGTAACCAAGTAAATGTTTAAGAAATAACAAAACAAGAGGTTGCAGATAAATAGTGTATTGAAGAGTAAATACAACAGAAGAGTATTACACGGCTTGGGAGTGTGTGTCGGTTGACCAGCATTCAGTCTATTAGAGTGTTCCTACGAGGCTTACTTTCCTACTAATTTTATAGTAAGTGGAAGAGTCCACAATAGACTCATTAGAGGGTGGACATCACAACAATTTTATTCAAATATTTATGTTGCTATTATTTGCTATGACTACTTGCCAATTATCAGGCAGCTCTTCTTAAGTTAAATTCAGCAGGTTTCGATGCGACAAAGTTTTCGGCAAACTCTTGATTTTCATTAGAGAAAGTTTTCCCCATCAAAGCAGCGATCGAAAAATGTATTAATCAATTGGTGCAAGGCTACGTGGTGTAGATCAACCGAATTCCAAAATGTCTTCCATGGTCATTCTGGCTGTATGCAGTCTTATATAGTGATGGAAGGAAACAATCTTTTTTTTTCTATTGATGAACAAAGGCCGCTTTTCGACTAAATTTTTGTCGACATGTTGCAGCTGCAGGACGTATAGTTGTGCATTTAGCGTTTCTTTACATTTTAAGAACTCTCAATGAATAATCCGCTCGACCCCGCGACGATCCCATCATACATACAACATTACTTTTCTTTCATGACTTCAGATTTTGGGGTCGGTTGTAAAGATTTCTCCGTGTCAATCCACTGACTTTTACGATAAACATTGTAACCCGTTTTTAATCACCTTTTATGGTAAATTTAAAGAATGGTTGGCTAGGATGATACATTCGTCATTACAAATGGCTTCCCCAAAACGAAAATTACTCATAACTCAAAAAAAAAAAAAATCCTTTTTAGTATTTAAAGCAGATATTTTAAAAAGGTACCAAAAATTAACTTAGATTATACAATGGTTGATATTTACCGACAGAAAAATATTCTGATATTAAAAATCTTATGAAATGGACAAAGTCCGACAATTATTTAAGACATTTTTTATATTCATATAATTGTCGGACTTTGTCCATTTCATAATGTATGACGTCATTTGTTTACATTTGGATACGCATCGAGCAGATATGAATGAATGAGAGAAAATCATGGAGAATTGTGTTTAAAAAACAGTAAAATCGACCTTGCTAATCGAACGCTCCTCTGTGGCCCAATCGGTTAAGGCACGTCAGGCTATATGACGGTTCCGTATGGGATACAGCTTCGATTCCTGTCGGAGGACGCATATTTTCTATGAAAATTTCTCGGACATTCAGACTGTTGTTAATACTGTTTATTATAAACAGAACATTTACCTGTATTTTTGTATTAAAAAGAACGTATAAACATAAAAATGTCTTAATTAAAAATCTTCCAAAAATAAAGTAGCCGTTCTAGAAATATGTGATATCGACGAAAATGAGTTCATTTTATATTATTTAACATTTTTTGGACGATATTAAAGTACTTTTTATCCCGTGACCTCGTAGGGGCACCATGTATACTGGAGCCACAATAGAAATGGTGTTTCTTGGGAAAGATAGCCTGACGTAGCCCAACCCTCTCCAGGCCAGCTTTGAATTCAGAGTTTTTCCTTCTCCTAGACTGGTTGTCACCCAAGGATATAGAACCCAGTCTGTCCTGCTATTTACCCATAACTGGGGGAGAAGAAGAGGATTCATACCTTTCCCAAGGGTATTAGCACGTAAGTGAATGTAATGGATCCAACTGGAATTCGAACTCGGCTCTCTGATTCCTCAATCCGAGCCACTCATTAAACTAGAATGAAAAATGAAATTCCATTATTTGTTACCTATCAGCAAAGATCAAAATTAATATTGAGTTAGTTTAAAAAAAAATAATCTTATAGTGATTTTCTAAGCGTACCTTAGATGTGGCACAAGGCCCAATGTATGGAGCACCCAGTGAGGAACAAACTTACTACTCGTAATTGTTGTCTTGTACAGCGAGGCGATCTTGACTTAGAGGTCCTACCAGGATTTATTATTGGTGGTCACAATCTTAACAATGTAAGATATGCAGATGACACAGTGCTGATAGCAGACACGGAAAGGAAACTACAAAACCTTCTGCAGAAGATAGCAAAGTAAAGCGAAACATGATTTCGGCATAGACAAGATTACAGAAATAATAAACGAAATCTACAACGGACAATCAGCCCAATAAACCGTATAAGAAAACTCATAATCGGAATTCTGAACAGAACGCTCAGAAGAATCAGGCCAAAGAAAGAACAAAAACAATGAGGTTCGTCAAAGACCCCGGAACAAGGAATGCGATATTCATGATTAGAATGTTATCAGAAAGAGCAATACAAATGCAGAAGGACGTGTATCTATGTTTTATAGACTACACAAAGACCTTCCCTAAAGTACGCCACAAAGATCTGTTAGAGCAACTCATCAACCATGACATATTCGGGAAAGACATTAGAATAATCAAGAATTTATACTGCCGCAAACCGCCTACATACTGATCTGATTATATCCAGAATGGTTTTGGAAGTGTTTGTGATTACTTTGGTATTATTTAGATGGGATAGGTTATTATGGATAGTGGACGTGACGGAGTTGGTCGACAGAAAAAGCATACATAGAAAACACATTCAAAAACCTACAATACCCATATCATTTCATCCATAATGCAAGAAGAAAGGCATACGAAATATACAATCACAACAAAAATAACATCATCATCCGTAATCCCATCTAAATAATATCAAAATAATCACAAAATCTTCCAAAAACGTTGTGGATATAATCAGATTCTCAAACACCCATAGCAATAATATTTCTGAAGCAAGCGTATATAAAATAAATTGCCCAAACTATTTCTCACAATACACCGGAGAAGACATCATTTAATATTTTTATGTCCTGTTTAAAACACTTTGATATTTGAACCACTTGTTTGATTTTGACCTCTTGTTTGATTTTGAACCATTGACAACCAGATATTCTCTCTAAAGGAACTGACTGATGATGGGCTTTTTGGGAGGTTCCGTCGGCTCTCTGTGAGTCTATGTGTATCCTCAAGAAGGCAATATTTTTGTTTTAATTTAAATTATTTTTATTACTTGATAAACTTTTTGAAAGTTTGGTTAGTTTTGGCACGTGGCCAGAATTTTCAGAGACGTAAGAACCCAAATGTTAACTAAGGGTTTAAATTCTCTCCCTGGTAAAAGAAGGGCCCCTATGACTTGAAAACAACCGTCATGGAACGGTCAACGTCTCAGCAGAAAGATGGAGATATTTACATGCCCACAGGGGACACATCTCGCCAATTCCGGGGTTTCATTCTAATCGCATCCGTTCAGTTGTTGGCACGTAGGAGACCCTTATACAAAGAGACTTTATTGCAACAAGGATGAGACAAAAAGGAGGTGAGAGTGGGAGAACACAGGCAAAGCTCAGCGTTAGAGTAATGAACCAGTTTGTGAAAGGACTGAAGTTTTATTCGAGGTTTACATAACATGTTAGAAATTATGCAGATCTTAATGGCCTTCTAGTGGAAGTGCAGGCTTTTTGTTCAATGCAAAGAACAGACGATAGGGGTGCTTGGTGGCTGGAGCCAGCACTACTCTGTGTATTTATCTATATCTTTTCTTTCTCGCTCTCTCTTTCTACACACACACACACACACACACACACACACACACACACACACACATATATATATATATATATATTCTGTTTATACGGTATTTTTATAGATACAAATATTTAAGTAAATGTTTTGTTTATAATAAATAGTATTAACTATATTTACCGGCCTGAATGTCCGAGAAATTTCTTAGAAAATATGTGCCCTACGACAGGAATCGAACCTGTATCCTAAACGGAACCGTCATATATTCGACCTTGCTAACCAGACGCTTCCTCTGTAGCTAAATAGTATAACACATCAGGCTATATAAGAGTCCCGTGTAGGATACAGCTTCGATTCCTGTCGGAGGACATATTGTGTATGAAATGTCTCGGATATTCTGGCCTGTAAATGTTGTTAATACTGTTTATTATAAACAGAGCATTTACGTAAATATTTGTATCTATAAAAATAACGTATAAACAGATAATCAAAACCGAATTGTCCATCAATTATGAGGTATTGGCCGGTCGTAACCTATGTGTTAACTAAGGAACGAAGGAACTTGGTGAAATATATGATGTCCGATTAAAAAAGTAAATCCATTAATAACATTTATATATATATATATATATATATATATATATATATATATATATAGTTTTAAAGTATGCTATATTTTTTGGTTAAAGTGCTCAATATTAGGGATAGAACGTATGTAAATATAAAAGTGGATTTGAATGTTCACAAATATATATATCTAATATATATATATATATATATATGTGTGTGTGTGTGTGTGTGTGTGTGTGTATTGTTTAAAATTTTCTATATTTATTGGAGAAGAGTCCTCAATACCAGAAATAAAGTATACGAATAATACCCTATTGACACCCCTTCCTCGTCATTTGTACAGGCGTACAGGTTTATTCCTTGTTTCCAGTCTAGGATTTGGTTTTCGGTTCCTTCTCTTAATGCCTTCTCATTCTCTATCACTCCCAGTAACTCCTTGCGTCTTAGTGACTTTATCGCCTTACTTGGGGTGAAATGATTAAATGTTGTTTTTTTTTATGTTTACATTATCTATGTGTCTATTGCATATGTTATGCACACACACACAATTACGATAAATTTTTGAGTAACATATAGGAAGATTGTACAGCTCAAATCTACCATATTAAAAAGAACCTGTCTACCTTGAAAATTAATATAATCTTTATTTAAATTCCGCTTACGGCCAAATCATATCGAAAAACCGGTTCCCGTACAATCAAAGAAGATGGAAGACCAGTTAACTGAAATGGATAATGGCTCAGAATTGTTAATCAGAGTGCTAAGTTTCAATTCCAGTTGGTTTCGTTATATTCACTTACATGCAATTCCTTTGAGAAAGGTATGAATCCACCTCTTCTATCTCCAGCTATAGGTTAATTAGTAAAACTTATATAACTAAATCATTATTATCTAAAAAAAAATTCTTAAAATCTATAAATATTTTCAGGGTTTAAATAACCCGCAAAGGATTGATAAGCCGTAAAAAACGTAAAAAAACAAATCACTCAGTCTATGAAATACTGATTAGCTCCACAGACATGTCTCTTAGATTTATTTACATTCCCTGGAATATAAATGTAGAGAAACTACTGTGGCTACAAATTCAGTGATCAGTTTATGTATTAAATGTAATATAAAATTGATGCCCCACTTTATACCTACATTATAATTTCTTGTTCGCTTATTAAATCCTGAATTACGTTTGAATCCACCTCTTCTCCCTCTTGCTATGGTTTAATGAGTAAGACTTGTATTGTTGAAACATTATTATCTGAAAAAATTTTTTTCACAATCTAAAAATATTTTCTGGCTTTAAATAAACTGCAAAGGGTTGACAAGCCGTAGAATATGAACCTATCTACTTAAATCTCGACTTCTGCTTCTGGTGGTAAATATGCAACTATCTTTGCCTCCAGGCGACTCATGTGTTTGCTTGTGTATACACATTTAATCTTTCAGCACGTGCGCGTGAGATTTGCGGTGAAACATGAGCGTTTCTCTTCCCTCCTAAGCAGGTGACAACTAGCGAATCCTGGGTGCGACTGTTCACACCAAAAGGTGGACAACGGGTATCACTTACAGCTGTCGATGCCTACCCTCAAATCTACGGACGAAAGGGTGAAAGACGAATGGAAAGAGACACACGAAAGGGGGTGGGGGAAAAACTCGCCCCTGCCACTTAGGAAGGAAACTGAACTTAAGCATCAGTTTTCAAATTAAATATTCCATCGGATTTTCTCATTAATTTTGTGTCGTCTGCTTGTTTGAATAGAGCGAAAGGAAGGATGTGCGTCTGAGACAAGCTTAGGGTACAGGGTTTTTTTTAGGGTGTGTGTATGTAAGATGAATTGGTTAAATAGGGAGACTCAATATGAAGCAAAAAAAAAAAAAAAAACGAAAAGAAATTAGATTTTGAGGATATTGAAAATAAACGAGTTTGTAAAATATATTTGAAATACTGAAAGGATGTTAAAGGTGGGAGCTTCAAAGATGTCGAGGGGTTGGCGAAGTCAGTATAGATAAAAAAGAAGTGAAGAAATAGGCATATAGAGTAGGAAAGTTTACGAAAAAATGAGCAGAAAAAGAAAGGCACATACAGAAGTAGGGAAGTAAGAGAGAAAGAGAGATAAAAGAAGAGTGAAATATAAAGAGAAAGAGAGAAAAAAGAGAGTGAAAGTGACACAGTAAAAGAGAGAAAGAGAAAGAGAAAAAAATGAGAGAGAATGAGAATGGGAGAGAAAAAGAGAATGTGTACGAGAGAGAAAAGTGACTGAAAATGAGAGAGAGAGAAAGAGAGAGAGAGAGAGAGAGAAAGAGAAAAGGAGTGAGAGATAAAGAGAAAGAGATAAAAAAGAGAGTGAAAATGACAGAGAAAAAGAGAGTAAAAGAGAGAGAAAGAGAGTTAAAGAAAAAGAGAAAGAATGAAAGAGAAGAAAAAATGAACGAGAAAAAAGTGAGTGACAATGAGAGAGTGAGAGAGAGGGAGAGAGAGAGAGAGAAAGAGAAAAAGGTGTGAGAGAGAAAGAGAGAGGGAGAGAGAAAAAGATAGTGAAAGTGAGAAAGAAAGAAAAAGCCATAGAAATATAGAAAAAGTCGATAGATAATTATTGAGAAAAGCAAGAAAGAAAAGAATGAAGTAGGCGATAAAACGCAGTGCCAAAAAATTAGATATTGCCTGAAGTTCATCACGTTCGCTTCAAGAACGTCGACAAAACGCGACGTTGCACAGAGTTTATGGAGTACAGAAGTCGTTGCGTGAGTATGTCTATTCAAGTACGTTGTAACATGCCCCATAAATGGTGGCTAATGCGTATGAGCAATGGCGTACCTAAAAGTCAGCCTAATGGTTTTGAACCAGTTTTGGCCGTGCGTAATGGTGAGGTGTATTATTTGGAACAAACTACGTAGAAATATGGCAAGCATAAAGAGGTGTAAATGATCTGTAACAAGAGCTGTGAATATTAAATTTGTCAAAACAATTTTATACTAAAGTTTACTCAATACAAAACTCAAGAACCACTTATAGTAGAGGGTTAATGAATGAAATACGTGATGTGAATGTAATCCGAGGTAAAAAAAAAAGGTGAAATTATGAGAATAAGAAGGATAGATAACGATTGACCGTTAACTTGAAGGTAGAGTTTGGGGAAGCACCATGGCGTTCTATACTCCAGGCCAAGTCATGGCGCAACTGAGAGCCAGAACTGGAGGCCTATTGAAAAATGTAGGATTTTCAGAAATTTTAGAAGAAAATGAAGTCAAGCACTTTATGAAATACTTAGAATAACATTTTTATTCACACTTGAGGATAATAGGATGTGTTGAAAGATAAATAAATGAAAATATGTATTTTTGCTATGAACACTGATAATTATTAAACAACACAAAGGGGTAATTATGATTTCTGGTAAAAGATATATTGAATCAGAAATTTATATTATTTACAGGTGTCACTGAATCCCTTTTTCAATCTATTCCCTGTGAGTGAATAAAGACTTTGGTTTAAATTTACATTACAGTTACTGGGTTTGACAAACAGAACCCAAGAAGGTTGGAAGACATCAGCCGAAGTGTGTATATAACAATCAATCATCACAGAAATATAGACAAATAAAACAAAATCATTCTAGGAAAGTTTTAAAACTTTTAGAGCTGGTTCTTTTTCTAATCTAGGTGTGCCATGTTTGCAAAAATTTTTCAAAACTATATTTGCAAAAATAAAAGTAATTCTTTTTCTCCATGTTGAAAAAATGAAACTCCGAAATAAGCATAAAAATGTTACTTAATGATTTATAGCAAACCTTTTCCTTTATTGTATGGAAAGGGATGAAACAAAAAAATAACCATTGACAAGTGTGGTCAGAAGGAACTTTTAGTTTTCCACAGTCAATTCCATACTTTTCATAATAAAAATGGGTTTCACATTCACTGGGTTGATTATCATTTCTTGTAATATATCCACCTATGTACACAAGAGCTATTTTTATTTCATTGGAAAGAGATGGTTCTAAATTTTCCAGATTGTCAAATATTTTTGAACCTTCCTCACAAAGTTTATAATCACAAGATGTACATTGGTGACCTGGATTAACATCAAATTTATCAATATTTACATTTTGATTTAAAAGTAAAGATGTCTGCTTAATATGCAGCTTTTCAATACATTGTTGAACATTTATAAAATAGGTGCCACCTGATCCTTGGCGAAATTTACCAAACTCTTTTTCTAATGGATCAGTTGAATATTGCCCAAGTAGTACATATTTATGACTTGTAGCTAAAATGTGTCGACATAGACTAACAATTCCATTGCAAATATGATGTATGGCAGTAGCAATGTTTTGGGATAATTGTTTTTTACGATTACCTTGACTGCCAGCCATATTAAGAGCCATTTTACCAAATTCAATGATAAAATCAAGTTGGGTGTCATTTGGAGATTTGATTTCAGCTTGTAGAGGATCATTATGTAATTTATCAATTTGAAGGCATTTAACATTTAAAATTTTCCCCCATGTCAAAACCTTGTTTATGAAGAGGGCAGTATCATTCTTACCTGCACTTATTTCAGACTGAGTGAGAAGTGCATTATATGTTTTTTCAGAAAACACTCTGAGGTAAGTAGAAACCCGTTGTCTTTCTATTGGCTTTGGAGCAATGGAAATTTCATTTAAATCTGAAAGTTTGACTAGTCTTTCAGATTCAAAACGATATAACTGTTTAAGATGTGTCCATTTTGCAACTCGACTTACTCCATCATCATCAAAGATTAGTTCTGTTTTTTCTGTCAGCCACAAATTGCGAATATTTTTCAACAGATGAACATAATCAAAAAGCAAATATTTGTATTATTTTTGGACAGGCTGCTAATATAACACTTAACTCCATAATGAAATGTTTCAAAGCGCAAATTGTTATAAATTTTCAACATAAAGAGAGGAATACCATCAATAGATTTTGATAATTGAACAGTTAAAATATTTTCATCCAAAAATGCTACAACTGGACATATAGTCTTTTTTGTTGTTAAGCAGACTTTCTTTCAAATTTGTATAATTTTATCTAATTCTAAAAAAGCATTAAGTTCATCAGCAATTTGATTTCTAACAGTACTGGAGGGTTTTTTTTTATATTCCTTTGAACAGCTGAGGGTATTAGTATTTGACTACTTGGCACACCTGGCCATACAGATGGTGGATTTTTGGGACGTATTTTTCCATTAACTTTTATGGTATCAAAATGTGAAGGCCAATGTTGTTTACTTTAAAACTTTATATTAAATTTAAAAATATTCATAAGTAGCCTTTCCTTTAGTTTTTGGTTATTTTAATACGCTTTAAACTATATAAATAGGAATATATATAACTTTTTTTTACCTTAAAGCAAAACAATTAAAAGGAAAGTAAAAATAATGCATTTTGTCCTTTAACAACAATATCAGAAAAATATTAAAATAAATATAAATAAAATGGTATTATTATACTTGTCTAAGTTGTCTTGTAAAATAAATTTTGTAGCCAAAAGGCGTAAAAAAGGAGACCTTTCTAAAAAAAAAAATAAAATAATTAAAATATTGACATTAACTACATGTAATAAATTTATTATTGTTATTTTTTCTTTAATTCTAATAAGTAAAAAAAATACTTACAGTTCACCAATTGGTAACTAATGTAGTAAAAATAATCATTTATTCTTTAACTTCTGAAACAAAAGCGCGAAGAAATTCGTTTGTTTTTTGTTTTTTTTTACTTTTAATGGAAATGTTGGATAAAGTTGTATAGAGAAATGTTAATGAACCTTTCTCTATTAAAATTTTATTCAAATTTATTATTCAAACTTGAACTTTTAATAGAAAAATGTTGACTTATGCTAATTTTTTATCATGGTTAAAAACTTGAGAAAATTAAACTCTAATTTCGTTGACGTTATGTTTTCACTCATAACAATGTTTTTTTTAGGGATATCAAAAATAAATATCAAATTAAGTAATGACATTGAATTTATGAAAAAAAAACTTTTAATTCATTTTATAATAAAAATAGTTTTCTTTACGTCTTTGAAGAAACTAAATTAAATTCTGTTGAAATTTGTTAAACGTTGTTTTGTTTTGCTTCTTAAAATAACACAAATTTCTCAAAAAGAATTGTATTTTATCAATAAATAATTCTTTAAACTTTAATAAAAAATGTTGAACAAACTTTAAGAGGGAAAATGCCAAAAATGAATTAAACTTTAATTTAAAAATGTTAAGGCTTTTTAAACTTAAAATCTTTTTGTGCGAGTAAATTTAAGCACCAAAGTTTACTTTTTACAATATGGACTCAAACTAAAATAATCAAATATACTTACTTCAAATAAATAAGTTAAATGATATTCCAACCAAAGGTAAAATTAAAAGATTCCTTTGAATTTCTCGAGCCAACAACATAAGAGTACACAGTGCACAGCAGTTCGCTCAAACTGAAACTAAAACGATCTAATTGCCAGCCGGCCTCCAGTCTATCGAGGTAGCAGCGCTACGCAGAGGCCGGTTAATATAGAACGCCATGGGAAGCACCCACAAATGAGTTAGTGGAAGTTTTGGAGCACTTCAACGTTGTGTAATGGTTATCAAGCTTGTCTCGTGGTGTAATGGTTAGCATGCTTGTTCTCGCTAGAACAATTCCGACTGAGTAGTGAGTTCGATCCTCGCCGGGTGTCCCTTACTTTAGGCCTTGTGCTACATCTAAGCTACGCTTGGTAAATCACTGTCTCGCTAGAACTGAGTAGTGAGTTTGATCCTGAGTGCTCCAAACTTTGTCGGCCTTGCGCCACATCTAAGCTACGCTTAGAAAATCATTTATGCACCTTGGCGTGGTGTAATAGTGAACAAAGTCTAGCTGGAGACTAAAGCCTGAACCAAGTCTCGCTAGAACAATTACGACTGAATACTGAGTTCGATCCTCACTGAGTTCCCCGTACTTTCGGCCTTGTGCCACATCTAATTTAAGATCATTTGGGCACCTTAACGTGGTGTAATGGTGGGTAAGTTTGTCCCGCTAGAACAATTACTACTGAATTGTGAGTTCGGTCCTTACTGGGTGCTCCATACTTTCGGCCTTGTGCCACATCTAATCTGCGCTTAGAAAATCATTTAGTCACATCGACATGTTATAATGGTTAGAAAAATAAAATAGAGCAGAAATGTGGGTGAATCGGTTTCATGGACACAGTATGGTGGGTCCTAGATGTGAAGGTCTGAACTGGTGGAAATAATGAATGGAGCTCATCTAAACATTTGCCATAATTTGCAGAACATATTTTTTTTTACCATTACAGAGCCTTGACCAGCTTGCACAGCACTCTGCTAGCAGGTCGCATCCATAGTATCATACACGAACACGACTGCTTATATCCTTTTTTTTAGCCAAACAACATGATACCTATCTTACTTCGTCCAGTGGAGATGTTTTCTCGCCTTGGAAAGGTTCGTAAATAGATTCAGTGGCGCTGGTATTAGTATCCTGATTGATTGACGACCATAAGACAGTAATACATCATGTATGAAAATTCATATAATAATGTGTACCCTGTTCAG